GCCCCGCAGCCCCTGCAGCGCTGCCGGGCTGGGAGCGTTGCTTTTTCCTTCCGTGGCAGCAGCGGGGCGGAGGGATAATTACCCATTTCCTAACGGGAAAAAAGTGTTTCAGAGCGTCCGTGCTCCCATCAGCGCCTGAACGAGGGGCTCGTTGCGGAACGACACGCCTAGGCCGGCAGGAGGCAGGTCCATCAGCCCTCCCGCAGGGATGCAGCTCGGGCGCTTTGTTCTCCGGGCGCTGTCGCATCGCAAGTTGGGAAGTCAAATCCAGGACGCAGCTCCCCGCAGTCCTGCAGGAAGGAGGGACAGCCCTGTCCCCAGCACACCAGCCGTCTCCTCCGGCCAGACACAGGAGGCAGACAGATCAGGTAAGGTATTATCATCACAGGGGATCACGAAGGCTGTTCCAGTCGACGCGGGAGGACATTGCAAGGGGCTTTGGTGGGAAATGCCTCGTAAAACCTTGTAACTTTAATCTGCTGCTGCTCGGATCCTGAGGTTTCCCTTCATCCTTCAGATTGTATCCCCAGGAACAGTCCAAATAACATATTTACCTTTCAGCAAAGATGACAACTACTAGCTTCTGAACTAATTTAGTAAGTCAGACCAATATTCTTGTACAAAGCTTTTTATTAAAAAGATAAAGGGTCCTCTGCAACAGAAGGTAGGTACAACACTAACACAACATTTAACTTTCCGAAGATTGCAACAGACCAGATTTGAAATTTTGATGGTGACAAACACTATGTATTAAGTTCAGCAAGTCTTATTCTCACACCTGAAAACAGCCAACATATCTGTAAATTATGACCTCTTAACTATTAAAAAAATCCCACCTTTTCTATTGAGTTACCAGCATATTATCAAGATCAAATTTCAGTATGTAGCATCCATGATGAAGCTGTAAATAATCCAAAATAATGATATCAAAATGCTAAGATTCTTAAGGAACCTTCCACATTTCACAGGCTTTAACAGTATTCCTTTACAATTCTCATGAACTAAGATAAAAAGTTATGTCCCCATAATATATAAAAAACTCAGATTAAAAAAACGATCTCAGGTGATGAAAAGAATTCCAAAGAACCTCACAGTCTGGCCTTAGAATTAATACCTGAAAAACGTCTTTACTGAGGAAAGAAAGATTGGAAGTTTACCTTTTCTTCACTTTGTAGGCGCATGTGTATTACAGACATCCCTTTACAGCAATTATCTTGCCCTAGTGACTTTCCTGCTTACCATAACCAAAAAGGCATCAGGGAAGAAACGAGTTACCCATCCTGGAAGATCAATAAGTGACAGCTTTCAGAATCTGAGGTACCTTACATTTCTTCTGCAGTACCAGGGCCACACAACAGGCCTCTCCCTCACCCACTGATAACAAACTCATGAGTATCATAAATAAAAAACCTGACATTTCCCAGTAATTCAAGGTGATCAGTACTTCAAAGAGATACTGGAGCCACCTCATGCAAAAAGTTGTCTGTTCACATAAATAGCCTCTGCATCAGTACCATATACTAGGCATGGTCCTAAAACATCTAAACTATTCACAGACAAAGTCTGATTTGGAATTAAGTTGGTGATTTCCATGCGGTCTTTGGTAGGATCATTGCTTAGCCAGGCACTTATTACAGACTGGTTAATGGTATTGTGAGAAAAATAGGTAGTACTTCTTCCTCCTGAAAGAAGGAAAGAGAGAAGAGTGTGAAGTTCCAATTTAGTTTATATATTCTTAGAATTTGAAGAAACATAGCGGGTATAGGACAGACATCATGGGAATATCATTTTACATTTAAGTCAGTTTTCAGATTAGCTAACAGATGTTGCAATTTCTTTGGTAAGCGAAGGAAAAAGTAGCTTAAAAACAAGATTTGAAGTGATTATAGAAAGCTGCTACCAGCTCTGTCCTTGTTCAAGACTAAGCGGACACCACAAGTATGAACCCATATCGATTAACAGTGCAAGTATCTACAAGTTTTTCTAGCCAGAGACTAAAGCAAGGACAGACCTGAGAACAAAAGTCTAGTTACATGGCGTCTGGCTATATTTGGGGCATCAGCTTTGCTTTAATAACACTTACTCGTACTATCCCTTCTCCCTAGTTATTTGGCAGCAAGTGGTATCTACCTGGACTTTGAATTTTTTTCACCTAACATTTTACATTCAAAGTGAAGTATCACAGTTTGAGAACTATCATTCAACATAACAAGTGGCTGAAGTGGTACTAAAAGGTTTGCATTTGATATACCTGAAAACATGAAGAGTACAACTTCAATTGGTAATCCTATTGTTCCTCTACACAGAGCTGAGCTTTGAATGGCAATTTTGAGGCCAAAGGTAGCAGATGATATCCAAAAGATTCCCTACTGTTTACAATCTGGTGGCAAGCAATTGAACAATCTTTGTGAATGTGAAAATAAGTGTTTATATTTATGTTATATATCTTTAATTCAAATCCTGCCACAATATAATGGGACCCAGTTTCATTCACTGGAAATTCCAATTATGACCTTGAATAGTAAATTCTTAATTCCACCATCCTATTAATGTATCAATTATTTTGTTATTACAAAATTTTGTGTATTTCCCTCAGAGACTCAGAAAGTAATGTGTCATTTAAGCTGCCTTCATGTCTTTCTGCAGATCATTTTTAAGTGAACGTAATCTACCTCTGAAATACTAGATGTGGCCCCTTCACACACTGGGCAGAGTACAGCAGACTGAGGCAAAAAACTCAACACAACTATTTTGCTGAAGTGCCTATCAGGGCTTTCTAAGAAAATAAACCAGCTTTTAGTTTTCTGTATTAGGATTGTGTTATTAATTGGGTCATGTGAGAACACTGACTTGAATTTTTTGCCAAATGACAAATTCAGTGCAGATTGACTTGAAACATCTTTACCTTGATGAAGAAAAGATGGTTTTTCAGATACATCTGTGGAAGTGTCCCAGTGCCAAAGAGATCCATCTTCAGAACACGTAAATAAGTGATCAGGGTTGGAGGGATGGAAATGAACTTCCCACACTGGAAGTATCAAGCCAAAACCAAAACCATTTCAGAACAAGTATGAAGTACTTAGCTCAGTGCACTTTGACTAATATGACATGGACATGCACTTGCAAGAACTCAGGCCCCCACCAAAATCTTCCATTCTCAACTGTGTGTGGGTCTGAGACAAAAACCCCACCCTTAGTTATTTACTACAGTTTTCTCTCCTCTGGAGGGAAAATCAGTAAAACTTAACACCAAGCAATATTTTTACTCTTTAAATATAATTGTGGCATCAAGTCAAGAAATTTTCAGCACAAAACGAATCGCTGTCTTGTTCATATAAAACTACCAGGAAAGCAAACTGTTTCATTATTGTGTAGGCACCAAATGGATCTGTACTATCTTCAGTTTCCCCTCCTTCCTCACATTTTCAAGTTTTTTAGTAACTACATTTTTGCTTTACTCTCTACCTGCATACCACAGCATCAATTTCTGTGACTATTAAAATACCTACCCTTCTAGAAACACAGCCATTCTGATTAAATGCATTTAATGAGACATTAAAGAACCACTTACTTGTTCTAGCTTTAGCTTGGAGTTGGCTTTTAAGCTAAGAACAGTTTCATATACAGAAAAGGAACAAACTGAAGCCAACTGGATGACAACACATGAATTAGTAATAACTATGTGATTGTTTTCTATAGTAGCTACAACACCTAATTTTTAACAGAATTTACAGCCTTTTCCAGAATGCCACTTTCTTTTCCCCCTTCCCATTCAGACACTTACTTTCTGCTTCATGAGCGTTTAGCAGGGACACTGGCATAGTACCCTGCCTGATGTCCCATATACTTAGCATCCCATCCTGGCCCCCTGTGACCACAATATGCCTCTGATTGGGATGCCTGTCCACACAGTGCAGTGGAACTCTGTCACCTGTCCTGCAAAGGAGAGGGGAAAAAACCCAAACAAACCCAACATGAATTACTCATTCAGCTTCTGTTTTCCCCTTCTTAATCCCTAGGAACCTTGACGAACAAGGTAACTGTATCAACTGCAGCTTCAATCCCTGTAGCATCTGGTCACTATAGGCTCAAACCGTGTGACATCTGCTGGAAATTAGAGGTATGGCAATAACGTGAAGCTACAATTTGATGAGCGTCAGGGTCTGTGTGCCCTACAGTTTACAGGCTGACACGGGCTGAGAGCGTTACAGGAGTGAGAAAACCCTGCATGCAGATAATACTCTAAGTACACCTACAATAGTAAGAAGATTACTCTGAAATACACGTTATTGGTACAGTTTCAACATATACTAAGTGTTACAAAGGAAGACTGGGCATTAACAGAAGCAGGTATCTAAACCATAGCCTATTAACAATGTGAATTATTCTACAGACAACAGGATTTGAATGTAGCTCAGTTTGTTTTCTCATAATACATTATAAGGCACAAAGTTATAACTCAAATACATTTCAAATGCCAGAAACTTTATATTAGGCCTGTGGAGAAAAAGAGATTAAGCTTTTTTTGATTATTTAAATACTAAACAAGTTAAAAGCCTTAAAAAAATAATTTATCATCTCCTTGTCAAGAATGTATCAGGAAATATTTAAATCAGATTATATAAAATAGCACATGCTTCTAAGTAAATATGTTAAAAAAATGAGGTCTTACAAAGAAAATATTTGAGATGGCTCATTTCCTTGCTGTCTGAGATCCCATATTTTTAACTGTCCAATTGAATTTACTGTCAAGATCTCGGTTGTACGAAGGAAAGTCACTGCATGGAGCGTACTGCTGTCTGCATTGTCTGAAAGAGATGAGAAAGGCATTCAGGCAAACCTACAGAATCCTAGTCTCCATTTAATTACCACAAAATAACTCCTTTTAGAAAACAGAACACAGCTGCTTAAACATGGTTACAACCTCTCTGCATTTTCAGGGGCAGAGACAGACCAGTGTCATATGATATTTTAAGTATCACAAGAGTACCCTGTGAAAAAGGAGCCCTTGTTTCCTGTATCTAATACTACTGAGACAAATGTGGAAGAAGCTATATTTAGTTAGCTCCAGTGCTGACAGGACTACTAGTTGATCCATAAGATTTATTAATACAGCTCCTAAGAAGAGGAATCAATTTAGCCAGGTCCATTACTTCTTTTTTTTTTTCTTTAAAGGGTTTTCTTTATATGCTCTACATCTACTGACAGGAGTGAGCCATGCAGCTTTTCGTAACACCGTTCTTTTGAGCACAAGGAACAGTAGCTCTGGCTCAGAACATTAAACAGCTGTATACAGAAGCACTTAATTCACCAACTTTCTATAGACCAATAATTATCAATGCGATATCTATCCCTGTCCCTAATGCCAAACCAGAATTATACTTTACTTCTTAATAACTAAATGGCAAAGCTCTTTTTTTCAGGTCCTTTTCTCCAGTACTTATTTTGGTCAGAATAATTTACAATGTCAAACACTTCACAGCAGTGGGGTGAAACTTTTGAGGCTTTAGGAGAGAATAATGTTAGATACTATATTCTTGTATTTTAATTCTGTTATTATATATAAACTTTTCATCCTGATTATGATAGGCTAACATTGTTAAGTCTACTTTCACCTGAAGTATTTTTTAAGTTCTTTGTGTAGGTCCATATTGAAAATACAGGGGAATTTTTTTGCTGCATAAGATGCAAACCTTTTTTGATATTGAGACAGACAAATTACACTGATGCCTGGTTATAGACATTAGTTTTCTTTTCTGCTTACTGTTTAAATGAAAGAACAGGGGAAGAAAAAAACCCCACCACCTTTAAATGGAAAGGTTAGATTGCTGAAGTTCTAAGGTATTTAATATTTTGTGAAAGAACAATGATTTAGCAATGACACATCTTTATGGCTCCAAAAGATTTTTATATGATGTCTAATTTTGAACATTTTTTTCCCTTCCATGTTTGACTATAAACATATTGACTTCATTTTATACTCTCAAATCCAATAAACAATAACAAAAAAAGTTCTCCTTTACAAGTATTTCAGGAGGTACAAGAGTTCCAGTTTTGTATTAAAAAATGTTGAGGGTTCTGCTCAATGTCTGGGACATATCAGTAAGTCATGAAATTGGGAACCAGTACAAATGATTGCTCACACTACAGAACTCCATCCTGAAGAACTTGAAAGCATCTTTCAAGATGTTCCCTCTGCCCTCTCCAACTTTCACTGTAAAACAAGCTCTGGTTAATGAGTTTGTGCTAGTCCCTTCTACATAATTCCAGGTAAGCTGCAGTTACCAGATAATAGGTACAACTAACTTATTTGTAGACCATTCCTGTTTGTAAGTTTCCTTTTATATTTCCAAAAGAACATTTCTCAGCTAATTCACATATGATTTCTTACATATTTATGTGCCAGCAAATCTCAATGCAAAGTCTTACTGCAGCATAAAGCTGGCTGATGCTATCATAACAAAGCAGACATTTTTACATGCTACTATCAAGTGAGCACTAAGAAAACTAACAACTTGCATCCTGCACATTGTTACATCTCTATGCAGCTGAGCAATTGCCCAGAGAAAAATAGATATTTTTTTTTTTGTGGACTTCTGCTTCGAGTCAGCAAAGCATTCTTCTCTATTAAACTTGTACCAGAACAGTGTGTGTTAATATCTGTATACAAGAACTTTAAATAGTTTAAAAGGATTATTTTAATATTCTTGCCCTTCAAAGGGGAAGTTCCTGTGTTTTGTGGGCACATGCTAATAAAATCTGCCTCATGCCCTGCTACTTTTTTTTTTTAAGCATAGAAAGGTTCCCTACAGCAATTCTCTAGGAGCTTCAGTAAAGGACTGCATGCAATTAATAGGATTTATCTTATGTGCACATATAAAGCCACACACACACAAGCATGCCCTCTAGAAATCTCAAGAGCACTTCCTTCCTTAATTGGCTTATCACTGTGTAAATCCTTTCATCCTTTAGAGGCAAGATTTTCTTGAGGAGAAACAGGTGCTGTGTCAAAATGAAGTTTCAGGGAGAAAGTCCCAGCTTAATAATGCCACTATCAAATACGGTGTTACCACCCTTTAAATTACTTCTGCTGGTTTTCACACCTTTCACGAACTATTTACTCTTATCATGCAATCTATTACTCTAAGAAATGTGGAGCTAAAAAACTAAGTGAGAAATTATCCCTGTAAGCTAAAGCATCCGGCAGAACAGGGTACAAACTGGTTTCCGGTTCTTGGTGTTCCTTTACACGCAGGGAAATGCATGGTTTTGCAGACACTGTGAGGATTAATCTTGGTACAAATAGCAAACTGAAGTAACAATCTCACTGACCTCCAGTTTTGAAGAACTTGGGACACAGTACTTCTTGAAATCTAACCATATTTCATGTATACTGTCATAGCACTTAACAATTCTAGATTAAACAGAGAATGTTAGGCTTGAAACTTCTCCGTTGCTTAAAACATTAATTTGAAAATATCTGAATAGAGAAATACATCTGAAATACACTCAGGTATCTGAAGTTTGGAGGAATACAGAAATAACCTGGAGCAAACACATTCAACTTGGAATACTTAATTAAATTCTCAAATTACTTCCTTTAAATTTTTTGTTACCATTGAAAAACTATAAACCAAAAAAACCACTCCAAACTAAACTAATTTGAACAGTTATTTGACATACCTATAGTTCTTACTGGATCCTTTTGGTCAGCTCGGAAGTGATTTATCCTACCATCTTCTCCAACAGTGACAATTTCTGGGTTGTTGCAGATGACTCCAGTACATGCTGCTCCACCACAAGATGTGCTTTGATCCACATGATAATGGGCTTTCTCCCACCGCTGGTTGGCAGATAAAGTCTAAGTAGTAACCAGACATGAAATTCTGCTGTTAAATAGCGATCCTGATAGATCAACATTTCCAGAATACTTGCAAAACCAGAAACAAGCTCCAGGAAAAGCCACACTACCTCACAGGAATGAGAATCTCCTGTACAAATAAGAATCAGAGATCTAAATTTTCCTCAACTCCTGAGCATACAGTCCTTCAATGAAGCTTTGATTATTTCTTCTCTGAACCACCTTTTTCACATGAGCTAGAAATCAGAAGGGACACTATTTATGAACTGTGAAATGCCTTAGATGGCAAGGAACTTAGTTTATTTTAGGTACCACCCCAAACTATTAACAGATACTAGTCTTTACTGTGATTATATTAAAAAGTCATTATGTTCTTACTTTCAGCTATATATAAACATAGCAAAACCTACAGAGATTACACTGTAGTTGTAAGAAGAAATTCAACCTAAGTAACTTAGTTCAAGAATGCAAAATCTCTAATGGGGTAGGTACAAGTTCACCAATACCTACTCCTCCAAAACAATCTAAACTCTTAAAGTTATGTTTTCAGTAAATGGATTATTTGGTTACAGATGTATAGTAACAGATACCCCAGTCTATCTGATGCTGGAATCTGATTTATGTAGTTTGTGTATAAAATGCTTTTTTCTTTCCTTGTACTTACTCTTCTAACAGGCTTAAAAATATATGTATTTTTTGGGTAGGTAGATGGTCCTTGCTGTAGTAGTTTGGATAAATATTATGCTAAGATGAAAGTGACCCCTACTACACAGAATAACAGCATAAGGTCAGGACAAGGTACCTGGTTATTTTGATGATGACGGAATATGGTTACAGCTCCTGTTGATGAGGCAACCACAATTCTCTCTTGATCCAAAAACTGAAGGGAGATAATAAAAGCACTATTAGTTTATGTCAATACCAAGATGAAATTTTGATTTTAGAGTAACTAAAATTATTGGTAGGTATAGTAAAAAAGAACAAACCCAAACTAATCCACAAACTGATACTGGTTGGTTGTGCCCTCCTTTATAAGCTTTTTTTTTTTTTTGTAAATCTCAGCATTTTTAAAATTCACTATCACTTAATTTCTCCTGAGAAGCCCTTAAAAAATTCAACACAGCTGTTTTACCTGCATGTCCATAACATCACCGTTGTGCCTGATGTCACACAGCAGCTGAGGTTCTCCTTGATAGTCCCCATTGAGACCCCCATTTCCGAGATCTCCAGCAGACCAAATGGAGATTCTGTTATCCTGTGAGAAAATTACACCACCAGTTTTACTGGAAAACGCGTGTGAAAGCACCGAACAGAAAGCCACCTGGGATGTCACCGCCCTCTGGCTGCGGCGCGGGGCAGCCCTAGCCCGCAGGCCGCGCGGCGGGAGGGGAGCGTTCGCCC